TTCAAATGCATGTTATGGTGACATAAAACGATTGTCAATAAAATTGTTGTCAATGTTGCGTCAATAAAATCTCGGACTAGTAACAAAACTGATAATTTAAGAAAGTGTTTTACACGGAAAACTTTGGAGTTAAAGCTCGTTAAACACCGTATCATGCTAAGGCTTATGCTTTGAAAAGCAACCCTCGAATTGGAGTCCACTAGCGATGCAGCATTAACCCAAACAAGCAGCTCTTCGGTCTGAACATCACACCACTTGCCAAATAAAGTGATTTTCAGGAGAAAGGATTTTCGTCCACTCAAGCAGTCGCATCGAAACATTTTACAACCGACGTCTACCCAACACCGATACAACCGACACTGACGATAAGGCGATTCAAATGTGGATGAGCATGGCTCTAGCGTCTCTACTGTTCGACAGAGAAAAGACGCACCCATGTCTGCGTGTGTGTACAGCAAAATTCACTTTTGTATCATCACTTTGCTTCAACTTTTGCGCTTCAATAAGTCAGACTGCAAATGCACGATCATATCGCCTAAACCTTCGCGTCTCGTCATCAAAAGGTAGAGTCAAATGATACTTTAAGCCAGCATTAATTGCTACGATGTGAAACCGAAGGAGAGGAGGGTAAGTGCGCAGATGCTGTTCAGGGAAATCACCTTTTGCCAGATTAGGCAGATGGTAAAGTCGTGGTGTGGTCGTGTGGCGTGTGTAGGCTTGATGCCTTCGGAGTCGGACCCGTAGGTCGCGGCTTCCGACAAGTCGAAGCGCATTTACCTAGTTGCTATTTTTTGAAAAAAACAAGCTCAGAAAATGTGTTTTAAGGGGTTTTGTGAGGGGAGGAAGAAGTTGGCGCATTACTGAATGACTTCCAATTGCAGGTTGGAAGGGTTGAGGATTTAAAATCACGCAGCAAACCAACAGATAATGCTAATGAATGTTCACTTTGCTTCGTCTCTTCCTAAAAGTGCTTGTAATGGTGATGGCCCTCTCAGGTTATCATTATGGCTTAGTCTTCCTAGCAAACGTAGGTAACATTTTAACAAAATCATTAGTAAGGATAGAATGGAGCAGCTACTGTTGCGCATTCAACCTTTGTTTAACTCTAGATTACAAATTGGTCACTTAGGGTCCTCCAAGAGCGGAGTGGCCTTGGTGGAGTCACGCCAACAGTCCTTAAGCTCTTCTATTCTGCAAAATAATCATCTCTGAACATCGTCAAGGTGTCCTTAGAGCGCTGCAGCTGTCGATTTGGTAAAACTGTGAAATAAACCTGATGTCACTCCCACTCTCAAAGTCCTCGACTCCGGAGGTAAAATCAGATCCACGCCCCTGTCGTCCCGATCCTCCTTTGATGTTTTGCCCTTCTTCACTATTTCGTACGTGTCCTTAAAGTGGCGTCAAGGTAAGATGATAACCGCTCGAAGGAATGCCAGGGGGAATGCGAGGGGCGAGGAAAAGGCAACCCCTTCCCCTTATCCTGCCTTGAAGTACAAATCTACTCATGGCTAAGGTATGCAGTATGTGGTATGTGCTGCTAGATTTTGCGCCTCTCTCACCTTCTCCCTTTTGATTTATGTAAGTGGGTTGGACTTTGAGAATTTTTCTTGCACAACTTCAACTTGCATCGGGGTGATAGATCCCAATCTGTAGCAGGAAATTCATAGTTTAAACAATTCCATCTGCAGTCCACCACATACGCACAAAAGGCAAGCCGAGTTGTGATTTGTGGGGACAAAGTGGTACGTGCTGTGGCATTGTGGGGTGGTGGTGTATCACTTGGGATAGCCAATGGTAGGCTTGGTTATTTGACATTGAAAGACACGAGGCATTTCTTGCAATAAGTCCAAGATCCACAAAATATTCGAGGTGTACAGTGCGATTTTGTCGATGTGTGAGTAGTTAGGGGCGTAGTGAGAGTTGGTTAAGCTCTCGACTCTTTCATTGTACTTCTCTGAAAGATTAACTCAAACCACTTAATTGGGAACGAGAACCTAATTAGAGGATTTTCTTCAGTTCCATAAACACCTTTGCCTCGTCGTCTAGAGGAGCTCGAGCATCAGGAAAATAGTGCATCCATCCATCCTCTGGAATGCGTGTGGATAAACAGTCGTATGCAATTTGCGAGGCCCACAAGTACCGCAAGTCCGCGAGGGACGCCGAAATCCGCGCAAGCCTTTTTTCTCCCCATCGATGCATGCTTTTGAAAGATGGTAAATAGAAAAAGAGGCAAATAGCACCCTATTTTTGGATTATTTTGCGCATAATGGCGGTGCATCAGAGGCCAAAACAATGTTCCTTTTGTAGAAACAAAAAATGAACCTAAGACACGTGGCACAGATATTGAATGAACAAACTCGCTAAGTTTTGGAGTTATTTTCGAACAACCACAGCTCATAAATGGGATATAATATTATAAAAAAAAGGAAAGAAAATGCATTAGTGTTACATTTTTAACCTCCTGGGTAGATGCCACTTGAAATGGTTAAAATTGCCTCGACTAGCACAAATCCACCTGCATCCGATTTCTTTGAACAATTTGCCTTCTCCAATGGCATAGGCCAGAGAGCGTCACAAAACAGAAAAAGTCATCCACATTGCACAAACTCGAGTTCTTGTCAAGAGAAGAAGGAGGGGTGTTGCAAGCGTCAACTTTCTTAATGGTCATTTGGCTAGGCCTACCTGCAGCCAGATTGGTTGCGAGATAGCCAAAAAAACTTGACAAATTTCGACACCTCCATTTTCAGCGCCGATCTGCTTGAATAACCTATCAATTTATTCCCTACCAACTGCCTTATGAAATTGTTTTAAAATATGCAGCACACTGGTTAAATGGATCCCTTTGGTGGCCTGCTTTAGGCTTTGCAGCCATTTCTCGCGTCGAAAATGCACACTTGACTTTAAAACTGCTCCTTCTTCTAATTAGAGGAAAGTGCCTGCAACCCAGAACCTTTCCACAACGTTAATAAAGCTGTTGATTACAAACTGAGGTTGGTTTTCACTAACATAAATTAAAGGTCTATGAGTCAACCTTTTTCCATAACCAAATCTTGAGGATCTGTAACAAAGAGGTTGACCAGGCACCATTTGTGGTTAAACTCAGGAGACCGTAGTGCACATCAAATAGGAGAAAAATGAAACAAAGTAGATGATGGATGTTTAAGGATGTTCCCTTGACCCAAGTTCAAAAACTAAACATTGTTCCGGGACTTGTGAGTTGGCCTTTGGGCAAGGCCAAGGTCCTATCCCTTCTTATCCTCTCAGAATGTATGTTTTCAGCCAAACACGATGCCTTCTTCTACCAAGAGGGAAGTCTCGGGACGCTGAAATAGCTAATTCGGTTTCTGAAAACTGTTCCAATTTGGCAACTTCATATTTGAATAGAAAACCTACTTTCGCAATGTAAATGCAAATAAAGAGCATGAACAATCAAAAATTGTGAAACAATCAAGACCTCTACTGGAGAGACATCAATTCGGAGAATGTCAAAAGAACTATTTCTCTTGACAATAAGGGTGGTCTTCACCAAGTCATAAGTTTTCACCCAAATCTTTCTGCCTTGCAACAGTGAAAGGCCAAAGTGGAGCAGATAATTGATGGATAAAGGAGTTCCATCGCATCTTTTATGCATCTTATCAAGACTTCTCAGAGGAGGCGAGAAGACAAGAGTTCGGGCACAATTTCCATTGTAGCCGTACAACCCGCCCAACAAGGCGCCATAGTGGAAACTGAGAAATAAACCACCAAAGCGTTGCTGTTGTGCAAACCGGAAGGTGAGGATTTAAAATATGAGGCACTGTTACCAATATTCTTGCTATATTTAACGCAGCCAATAGTGTCTACAGTCAAAAAAATTGCAGCAAGTTTTTTTACGCTACTTAGAATACAAAAATCGGCTACTAAAAAGCAAGTTACAGGTGGGCAAAGGTCCTCAAATATACGATTAAGCTTCAACAGTGTTTGGCCTTATAATATTTGGGCCAAAGAGGAAATTCTAAATATAATCAAGTGGCATTAAGCCTGCATCTGTAATACCTTGTGTATGTGACCACCTGATGTCTGGCAATGACTTTGGCATTCGTCTTGCCCTCGTACACATAGGTTGGTCTTGGAGTCGAGTCGAGGCCCTATTCCTTCTTCTCCTTGTAAATGAATGCATTCAGCCCAACACAATGCCTTCTATTTGATATAAAGTCTTGGGCGCTACAACACCTGTGACAGAATGAACACTGTGATACTTTGGTATTCGTCTGGACCTTGGCGCGTGAACTGGCCTTTGGTCCATGCCAAGACCGCATCCCTTCTTCTTCTTCCTCTTCTTCTCTTAGAGTACAGGTTTTCTGTTCAGGAGAAGTATCGGAGTGCAACAAACACTTTAATGGGATCATGTATTTCTAGCACGAAAATTTCATTAGAGCTGTACCCAAAAAACAGAACATAAAATGCAATTTTAGAAGTGTCAGCAATTACTTAAGCCAATAATGATCCTAGGACTTGGTCCTACCATTGTGAAAATGTAAAATTTACCAGTAGATTATGACATCTTGTGGTGTTTGATGCTTGAGCTTTAGGTTGATATCTTCTTTGCAGCCGGGAGATGGACGATTAACAAAAGCAGCACATCCGCTATGCTTACCCTGTAAGTCGATACTATACAAGTAAATTAATTGTAGCCTTCGCAGCATTGCAAAGGGTTCTCTTGATCGCCGCATGGGCTTTTCAAGTCTAACACTAAACTATGCAAATTGATTTCCTCAAGACTTCGAGTTGATGTCAACTTAGTTTTAAAGAGACGCTTTTCATCCTTAAAAATGTAAACTTTTAAAGGATTCTTTGGATTGGTCTGTTTAAAATAGGACCTTAAAAGCTATATTATCTATTGAAATACTAGCATAAACCAGTAGAGTTTGAAAAGTGTTTGTTCTATTAACTTATGCACAGCGTTGGGTCAGTTTTAATCTGTGCGATTTATCTGCGTACGCGCATTTTCAGGTTGAGACATGCGAATTTCATTGGAGTTCTCAGGAGGCGCCGAACTGCTTTTTGGTAACAAAAAGGAACAGAGTGCTGATTTACCCGACTCAGTCAAAACAATAAAGGAGCTCCTCCCTTGGTTACGCGATCATATGCTTACGGGGCGACCGGATTTGTTCCTTTCCAACAGTTCTATTAGGCCGGGCATCTTGACGCTGGTGAATGATACAGACTGGAGCCTTCTTGGTGAAGAAGAGTACCTGCTCAGAGACGACGACAAGGTGTCCTTCATCTCTACATTGCATGGTGGTTAATTCGTCGCAATAGGTTGCTTTCGTGAGTACGTGCCTGGGTATCTTGTATCTATGTGATAATAATCATTGTTAGTACACTCCATTTTCTCTACCTCTCAGCTCTCTGATACTTCTTTGAGTCTGGCAAATTAAACTAAACCTCCCTCGACGTACAGTTCCGGCCATGAGTGCGAGACAACCGCACTTCCATCATTGGACACTATACCATATGAAGAGCTATGTTAGACCAGGTTTCACGTGAGAGGCAAAGCAACGATTCTAATCCTTTAATAGCTGTGAACTGCCACAATCTTGTTTTCAGTGGTGACTGAACTCCATGTTGGCCGACAAGGCGCCGTATTAAGCGGTTTCTACACTGTCCACCATTACTCTCTAGGTATCACAGCGTCATTTTCCAAAAGCCGCTTTTGACTCGGATATTTCAGTCCAGAGTAAAGTCCTCGACAGTTGGATGTTGAGAAACACATTTCCAAACGGCTTATCAGTAGCACACGGGACAAGGATGCTGAAACCTGCTGTCAGGCCTGTGAGGTTACTTTAGTGCCACTTGATCTAATAACTTAATTTCGGGCTGTCCTTGAAATTCCAGACAGCATCGGCGAGAGGGCGCTATTTTCTAGAGCAGTTGATCACACTGTTCGTTATGGCGATCATTGTCATTTGTAAATCGTATCTTTTCAGGAGTTGATATTCGCATGAGAAGTTGGAGTTCAGCAACTTCAGTTTGGTTAGACGAAAAAGGGAAAAGTCAAAGCAACGTAGAAGGTCACACATAAACTTTGAATAATGTATAACTTCATTAAATAGCATTGGGCATCCATTAAGAACAGTGAGGCATCAAATAAGTACAAATATGTCGTGTTCATAAGTCATGTTGGGACGGATTCAGCTCAAATTCCATGCTAACATGGACCAGATGGCCCTTGAAATTCGCGTCATTTTGAAAAACTAAAACGAATCCATAAGGATGAACAAACAACTTACTCATATTCCTGTTTAGATCCAATGTGTACTCGTCCAGAGCAAGTGGTGTGGACTTATCAGCCTATTAGATGCAGAATTAGAACGATCAAGTCGTACATATGCATTTCCGGACACAACATTGGCAGGACTGCCGATGGACAACGCAAATTTTTGGAAGAGCAGATAGCTCGATGAATCCGAAGGCCGTTGTATGTGGCAAATATATCTATTCAGATGCTCAGAATAAACCATTGAGAAGTGCCATTCCTAAAACCTTGAGAACGATATGATTGCGCGCACCTCACCTGTTCCCCCTTGACAGGTGTAATCGAATTTGCATTCGACGCCGAACTAAGGATGCCGATAAAAATAAACTGCCAAGGCATACCCCTTCTATTGACACTGATCGCTCAACACCACCAGGCTTAATCACAGCTTCTTTTACAACAAAGTTGTCAGAGGCAAGCGAGCTATTGAGAGCGGTGAAATAAAGTAGGAGAAGGACGTGAAACCGCCACATGTGCGGACGATAGTGCACACTACTTTAAGTTGCTGATACGTTGTCAGTGGGGGTCCTGACAAGTGCATCATTGGTGGGTAAGGTTATTAATAATAGTCGATTCCAGGATATCTTGGAAATCCAAGAAAGAATGGTAGCTAATAATATCAAAAAACAGTGTGACCATATGCTTGACATTGCTCAGAATTTGAGCGCCTAATTGAGATTAAAGCAAGGTTTTGATACAAATAAGTGACATAACATGTTATTATTATTAAACCGCACTTTTCAGTTCGTTTACATAAAAATTGAAAGCAAAAAGAGTGCTCACAATTCTGAATATGTATTTTAAGTGGGTATAAGGACTCGCAAGTAATAAACACAGTCACGCCAGAGCAAAGTTAAATTACTTAGAACAGGGTTTGTTTACCCGAACCTTTCCTTTCCGTGTTACTTTAGGCGTTCATTCTATCGGGTCAAAGGTTGAAGGTCACATAACCGTGCCGTTTCTGGGTTGGTTTTGTCGTATCCTGCTTCAGTTCTGGTATTGAGGTAAGTTGTCTGGATCTGTCGCTTTGGTTTCATATCCGTAGTGCATTCTTTAATCATTTACACCTTTTCTTCACACGATTCTGTTTCACCTCCACATATATCTATCAAGGATGGATCCTGACTTTGAAATCGAAGATGTGAACGAATATGGTGTGCCGCAGACAACAGCCTCCAATGGTTAGATCCAGCTTCTCCTTACCTACTCATTTTTTTAGGTTATGGAGTTGTTTTCAAGATCCTCGTTGGTCTTATCTTCATTGCCCTCTATTTCTTAGTGTCTCGTTTCTCGGCGGCTTTTGGCACAAGGTTGGCCAGGCTTGCGACTGATAGTATGTCGCCTGAACTTTTATCCATTTACGGCACGAAATGATACAATTTATCAATGTTGTACAACATTACGTTGTTAGCTCACCAAAGGAATTACGATGTGGAAATGCGTGAAGCTAGGAGACGTCTACAGGAACGATTCGACAACGAAAGGCGAAACCGTAAAACGGTACACCTCAAATTTTGTCATCGTTGCAACCCTGTAGCAGAACAATGGAAACATCCCAACCGAAGACACGGAAAAGTCAAAGAGCAAAGCAGTGAGTTTTCTGGCATTTTGCCAACTTATCCAGCTGCATAAAGATGCGGATAACATGTTTCTCGCTTTCAGGATCCTCAGAAATCTACGAAGCGTATCAAAGCTCCCAATCCAGAAACACTAAATAGTTCAGGTACGTGCTTGTTTGATTCGGGTAGTGCGAGAAATCTCTCAAGCTGATTTGAATCCTTCAGCCTCCAATCACCAATCATTTGTTCAATAGTATACCGACGTCTTGTAAATCTTAGAGATAAGGCAGTAAAGTGCATTTAGATGTGTACAAACCCTTGATACATTAATTTTATCCCATCGGTAACAACGAACCCCAACTTACGAGCTTTATAGCCTTGGGAAGTCGATTTTGTTTAGTGTTTAGCAAACATTTTGGATCTTACTAACGATACTTTACAAATTAGATTTGTGGCTTTGGTTCTTTATGTCTAAGACCCTTACCATAGAATGAAATTATGGTGGTAGGGCCAAGGATACTTATTTTAGCTCGGACGTGCCGCATCAGGAAGTTGGTCTATAGCGTTCGGCTCCAGGAGTGATCAGTACTGCTACATTGCTTTCGTCTACTTGGCGTATGTTCTCATAATTCTTCAATGGGTTCTCGTGAAAGTACTTCTTGTCAGTTTTTGGTACTCATCTCGCATTATCTCGGTTCTCGAACGTATTTGTTGCTGGACTTTATAAAGTTCATCGATCATTTTGTGCAGTTGATCGATGTGACATAGGTTGACGGAATTCATCCCAGAATACCTTTTGTGTTAGCAGCATTATTGTCCGAATGATTTTTACTTCGCCTTTGGTGTGTGTGTTAGACAGCTAATGCCTCCAACTGTCACTCGTGTGCTGGCAACTATCACTTGTTGATGTGATCTTGTAGCTATGGCACCCTCCACAGGAACACTATCTCCTTTAAGGGCTGTATTACAGTCCGCTTCAACTTTTCATTTTAGGGTACTTTCCCCTGATAGGGGACAGCAGCGGTTCCAACGTCTGTTTTCGCCGTTCTAGGAAGCCTGGCGGATGAGGTTAAACCCCTTCGACTGTGACCACAACCCTCGCTCTCGGCCCAATTCTATCCTCCTACAGCTCCTCTCACTCCGTGGGTCATGCGCTCCCACTTATGACGTTGATTGTCGAAACGCTGGACATTCAATCGATGACGTGGTGATGGTGCTGACAGCATAGAGACTGGGGGCATTAGGTCACAGCCGCGCCCACTCTGTTTCACCATGAAATTTTTCTTTCAAATTCTCATCCGACTTCCTCGCAAGCTACGAATGTTTGTGAATTTTAGTGTCCTATTTGTTTTTAAGTGGAAACTGAGCTTGAGCGTTATGCATCATTCACCATCTTACCACCTCATCGTTGATTACGGAAGCAAGAGTTGGTGTACTTATGAGTTCTGAGATTTAGGTTGTCACATGAAAGTGGGCTAACTCAACATGCTTTCTAGGCCGCCCAATGTTATCCCATTTTTTGCCAAAGGTGGGAATCCTCCAACCTCAAACACTAAATTGGTTCTAGGCATGAACAGTCAGGCTGAGGAAAAGGAGGTATATGCGTACAGGTGCATGCCGAAAAACGTAGACATTTGGGAGGGGTGTTAGAAAACTTTCTAAATCATTCAGACTAAAAGGAAATTATTGAAAGAAGAAGGCTGCATAAGTTACAGCAGGGCAGCAGTCAAGTTTATGAGAGTGAAGCGTCTGAAGGTAATTCCCAGTCAGAGGGACAAAATTGCTGGTTGGAGTCACAAGGAGGGACGGGAAGTTGGGTCATCATGACACTGCATTTCATTGCCTAGCATTGCGAGAATCCAAGTGGGGAGGCGGTAACAACAAGTACAGTTAAAAATCAAACTCTTGCCCACACGGCAAAATCGCAGTTTAAAAGTCACTAGAGGTGGTTCGTTTATAGTAAATACTCAGGTATAAATGAAAAAGGAGAAATATTTAAACAGGTCTCTACTACTTTCTAGACTACACCAGAAAATACCAAAAGGCTCTGTTTTCCGCCAAAACGACAAGGCTCCGTGTAGGCAGGGCTGACGCCAACTCTGCTGGTCAGTCACTCTTCATCCATGATCACTGTCACGAGCCTTTTTGATAGCCTCGTCAGCTCAACTTCACTCGTCCAACCTGCGAAGATATGCAGGAAGTCACCCAGATAGCCTTTGTTGGTGCTCTCGGTGGAGGCAAAAGTGGTTTTGAATGGTCGCAAATGGTACGAAGCGAAAGTTCATGTTAGATGGAAAACAAATGGTAAGAGATGAGGATAGCTAATGATATATGAACTTCATTGCAAGTGAAACTTAGCGAGACAACGATTTGACGTTGACTAATTCTCGTAAATCTGTTTTGGGACCGTCGTAAGCATGCTCAAAGAAGGCATTTCAAAAGTATGTCCAACACGTTGATCCCATATGCGCTGCGGTGGAAGCAAGAGTAATTAGGTCGCGGATCTGCTTTCCATTGCAAACAGAATAGCATTCCCACACTAGTACTCGCGTGGACTACTTTTACCGAAATGGAGAGGATCCGAGGGGCTACTTGCATAAATTGGCGAGAAACAGTATCGAATTCCACTGTCTGCCAAAACCAAGGGCCGCACATCTCCGACTCACCACTCCTAAAATCTCTACTACCTCAATTTTGTGTGGGTTGTTGTCCCCTCACCGATAACCCAAGCAACCTTCGGAAAAATGATTGGGTCAATGTTTAGATTGTTTTCAAATAAGCAAATCACTGCATTAACTTCAATATCTTCACCATTCTGGACGACAAAAGTGCTTTCAAAATAACAAGTCGCCATGGTCGTTTCTCAAAGAAATGTCGAATTTCATTAAAAAAATTTAGAAGGAGTGGTAAATTTCAGCATGTTAAGTGAGAACAGACTGCAAAGTACCGCAGTGTCCCTTGAATTTTGGCTTATGTTACAAAAGAAAGGACCTGCACAGTGGAGAGAGCGTTTCTCAAAGTCATGAAGTGCAAAAAAGTGAGAATGGAATCGAATTGGACAGAACTGAAGGATTCTTGAACAGTACACCCACCGAACTGTTTCCATACTGGACATATGACAGGTGCGTCTGAACTTTCATACTGGTCGTGCCGCCGATTAGTCCAGTTCTGTAGACCTCCTTTGTCACAACTTCACATCCACAGCTTGTCAAACCTTCAACAAAAGCAGTAGAGCAAACGATTTCATAAAGCTGTGCATTAAACGTCGGCATACGATCTTTCCATCAGGTTTCACATTTTGAACGACAGACAAGCCTTTCGTCCCCTTGCCTGCAATTTTGATGAGGCTCAAATCATCCTCTCCAATCCGATGGAATGTTAAGCTACAAGCCAAGAATTAGATTGATAAAAATCTCACTTCAAAACAATGCACGTCACTTCCGCACGCGTGTACGAATGAGGCATCCAAGTTACTCAAAATGGCAAAAAACTACTCTGTTGAATCTGGAGAAACACGCGATGGAGTCGGTAAGCTCAACGAAGAAGTTTGCATCAAATCACGCTGACAAAACGGCGCAACAGTGTGGATGTCAGTAGCAGACCAAGAAGGGTAAGGACAGCTAAGGGGAAGACCACAATGCGTCCCTACAAACGTGGCTCACTTGACATAAGGATTTGGCAATGAACCACCGATGAGGAAGTAAACTGACACAACGAATAGCAAGAATTAAGCCCTATGCAAAAGTGAGGTAAAAGACCTGCAGAATAGAGCTTCATGGATAATGCCCACAAGCAAGTACGCTCCGTCTGAAGGTGGCCACGCCTTCTGAAATTCGGTTGCCACAAAAAAGGAGTGAAATTTTGTAAAGTATAGAATAAAAAGAAGCATGACGTATGAGTGGTGGTAATGCTGGTAGCACCGGTGAGGAAGTGTAGACAGGCATCAAGCGCATGCTGCAATGCGTTCCATTTGTCATTCGTCCTGACCCTTTAGGGGCCAGCATGTTTACGTTGTCACTACTTCCGCGCCGTCGGTCAACCCCCTTGTTCTACTGACACGGGAAATGCAAGAGCCACACATCTAATTATGGCAAACATCGAACACCAAAGGCCCTAGCTTTAATTGGAACAGAAGGGCAAATCAAAATACCGTTTCAATTTTCATGTAATTGAACTAAGTGTAGTTGCAACACTGAATCAGGACAAGTCAGTAATGGGCGAACTCCAAAGAAAGTATCGAAAGTACGCCTTTCAATGAAACACATCTTCAAGTAGTTTGCCAATGGTAGTATAAAACTCGTGATCCTTAATAACTAACAAGAAACTGTACTTCAACTAGTCACATCAATGAGTCGAAAAACAACAAATTTTAATTCAACAACTTTAACGAGGTCGAAGAAAGGCAAACCATTACAGATAATCAAATGTATTCCATTACTTGTTTATTAATACTAGAGACTTTGTGTCAACAACGTTTTAACCTTAGTCGACTCAAAATGCACCATCCAAATATCTCCGTATCACAATATGATTGACTTCGAACTTTGAGCATGGCAATGACAAGTAATTCAATTGCATAAAAGCTTTTAGAGCAGCTGACAAAGAGGAAAATCAGAAAACTACTAATTCACAACTTTCTCAGAACCTGTTTAAAAATGTAAGCAGTTTGATTGTAGCGTCCCGAGACCTCCCACTGAGTAGAAAGCGTTAAGTGGAGCTGAAAACATGTATTTCAGAGAGAACAAAAGAAATAGACCAGTGCTCGACTCAAAGACCATCTCACGCGTGCAAGGACCAGACGAATCTTAAAGAAACCTCCAGACATCAGGTGGTCACATGAACAAAGCATCCCAGTAATCAAAGCGCAAAAAACATAGGCTGGCCACCGAGGGACGTTTTGGCGAAACGACCAACAGCATTCACCAGCAGTGGTTTCACGCGATCAAATCTATAAATTTGTTCAATGATCTTAATACTTACCATGGAATAGGAATCGCCCAACACCATCTACTTCCCAGTTAGTCCTAGTTGACGAAAAAAAATCGGTTTCATAATAAGGGTATTAGTTGCACTTGGTGATGTTGAAATTGCACACAACGAGATCCCATCTAAGCGGAGCATTAGTCTCCTAGTCTCAGTTCAGTTAAAACTCCCTAATGATGGCAGACTTGCATCATAACACAGTCCCTCCGGCTACACAATGAGGTTTATCAAATTCTACGTTTACAGTTGTATCTGCAGTCGAATACATATTTCAACTTCGCACGCAAAAGAACCGAATAAACAAAACAATAGATTAATGAAAACCGACGCTTAGCATCGGATTTCAAATAATTCCGTACAAGGTAAACCGAATGTTTGTGCAATCTCAACACAATATACAAGCAATGTGTAAAATGAGACCATGTATTTAGTAGTCTGAAAAATGCAAAAGCATAAAAACAAGGATACACTTGCTAACTTATCTACGTTACCAACGAGAACCGGTTTAGTTTCACGAATAACACTAATAGGACAAATTGTGGGATGGAAATCAAGAAAACGATTAGTCATGGCAAATACATTAAATAAAATGTGAATGCCAGTGAGACTGAAATCATTTAAAAACTTTTTCGAAGAGCCTTTGACACATGCATTGCCGATGTACCCTGAGGTTCCTAGGCAAGCGAAAACTAAGTAAATTATGGGTGTCAAAGGCATGAAAGTTGCAAGGTTAACCATAAATCTTGCTCTTTCATTCACAAATAAATTGCGAACATGAATCCCATCTACATGCTAGAAAATACAACCACGTAACACCAGCAGACGATACAAGCAGTCGCTCGTAATAATGAAGTAAACTAGATGTGAACGGCCGGAATTTGCTACCATGACTCAACCTTCCATGAGGTCAGACACTAGCCATAGTGTAGCACGACAATCGAAAAAAGTGTAACGAGATAGAGTGACTTACTGACCCGCGACTTGTTAGGTGATGTCAGCTTGATAGTAAAGAGAAGCTTAAGGTAATTCGCGAAGGAGAACTCATTAAACAAACATTGATCTATAAGAATAGGATTTGTAGACA